AAAGGAGAGAGAGTAAGTGAATTTTAAGAAAATATTCTCCACAAAGACATCATAACTGACATAAATATTTCATGGCACTATACAGTTTAAAGCACAGCTCGGCTTCATTGCGAAACAACCCTTCTTAAAACAAATGCCTTTTGTTTTTGTTACCCACTAACAACAGATCTACCAAGAACATCCAGAATGACATCATCCAGCTCACCAGACGAACCACCATACTGCAGAGTGTACAAGGGACACCTTGAGCTGTACATTGGTCGCTGTGCTGAGTGGTGGGTTCTTATTCCTCTCGAACAGCAGGTGATCCGACACCAACTTATGTGCACTCCATACATCCCAGATACCATAGAAAGAGGCAAGAAGGTCGAAGTTCATCTCCATATCCATGCGGACCTTCCTGGGATGGACACGGTAAGCACAACGCACCGGCAGCATAAAGAATCATAGCATTGTGTAGCGGTGTAGATTGGGTCAAGCATTGAGAGGACACTGGTATCATTGGCGGGGGCACCAACATATTATATGCAACTGTATAAGAAATAGGAAGGAACTACATCATAGATTGAGGCAAGGGTGTAGGAAGGATGAAGTTATCCTCTTCCCTTTCCGTTCGCTATATACCCTTCTTTTTCTCTGTCCCTCTTCCTCTTTTGTCGAAACATGCTATATGTTTACCCGTATTCAACACATCTAAACGACTGTATTTACACATTCAGGCATTTCAAATTGATCACGCCTGTAATACGATGCCGTATCGATTTGCCGCCATTACGATCGAAATTCTTAATGCTTTGTCTCTCAAAATTTAGGTGTAGGCTACTTGTATTAAGTTTGAATAATACTTTTTACATGAATAAGATTCCCTTCGTGACGTTTGCGCATGCACTTAATACTATTTTCGCACAGGAGGTTCAAGAGGAGGAGAAGAAGCATTCATACCACAAGGTTCATCCCTCGGTTCCAATCAGTATTGCAACAAAGTCTGGTGACGTTCAAGTCACATGCTGTCGTCAGGATGAGTTTCAGCAAAGGAAGGTAATTAAGTTGACATTGCATTTTTATGTTTTCTTGTTATCCGCCCGTCCAGCTTTCTTGATAACGAGGGATCTTAAGAACTACTTCAAATATGAAAGTCAAACGTGGTGATATAGTGTAGGAAAACGACCTAGTTAGTTTTGGGGGAAAGTAGGTCAAAGACCAAAGGTCATAGAGGTTAGTTTCTGAAAATACAGGTTTTAGCCTCGTTATCATAATATTTCAAGAACTATTAGATGTATGAGCTTCAAACCTTGCGAAAGTGTGTATATTCCTTGGGAGACGATCTGATTAGATTTTAGAGGAAGAGCTCGATGAAGTCATAATATTTCACGGTGAAATGTGCGGAAATGAGAATTGCACGAACGGTAGATGTATACTTTTCGACTGCTTGCATTCAAAAAGCTCTTGTTCCTTACATACATTTATCTTTAGTGGTTTATACCCTGTACGTCAGTTAGTCATTTATTCATTGTACGGTTTTGAAAATTAACTCCCTATACCGATTTCAATTTTCGGAATATTACTCGTTAGTGCGATTATGACTATTATAATTATTTTATAATTATTCTTTCCTGATCAGCAGTTTTATAATAAATATGATTACTATAATGAGGATAATGCAAAATGATGATTAATATTATTATTACCATTAACATTATTATCACCATCATTGTTATTATTACCACCATCATTGTTATTATTATCAATATCATTTTTCAGTCTGGACAACAGGTTCTCTCTCAAAAAGATATTCAAAGCAAACTGAAACACAGCTTTTTACTACCCGTGACTTCGCGTGAGGAGAATACAAACTTCCCAGTAATTATCACGATTACACAGGCTGGAAAGGTCGGGGCTTCATTATCTGTTGCTTTCTTAATCAGATACTCAGGTATGTATACTCCATATCTATTTATCATGGGCATTATGAAGTTTGGATGAAGCATAATTATAACTAAAAAGTGTTGTATGAGTTTAAATCATTATGAATAAATTAGAATAACACAATCGCAAAGAATTTCAAATACTGAAACTATTTCAATTTCCACGGCCTTGTGAATCACCTATTAAATGTGCAAACATACCAATGAAATGAGCGTTACACATAAATACTGGAAATGCGCTCGACTTGATTTTGTCACAACTCTTTGCAATCGTGCTGAATTGTACTCCTATAAAGAAAAAGTGTTTGGAAAGACAAGAACCCAAATACATAACCTTGTTAATAGCATAGGTTGAGTGGTAGCATAGCCATATCATGGTGATTTATTGGTATGGCACGATGCATTATAACCTCTGGTTTCCGTCGAAATGTCAGTCAGTACATTTCTTGAGAAATACTGCCACCAAAAGTTAACACCCGTCGGAAAAAACATAATCGGATTTATAGCGGTATACTCTACATGATTCTTACAGTACCTTGATAAGGTGACTCGTGATTAGAGGTTACTTATTAAGTCAGTACACATCGATACATCAATTGCTATATTTTTCTCAATTTTTGTATTTATATCACAGATGAACTGAAGTATGAATCTTCCTTAGAACCTGCTTCCTTCGTAGGGTAAGCTTGCATTTGGACCATTATTATTAATTCGCAGCTTTTTCAATTAATGTTTTTGCCAATGAAATGAATTTTACATTCATACCGCTATTATCAGTGGCAGCATGGGTATTAGGGGCGGGGGAGGGGGTTGGTGGTGACGGAGACAGGGGAGGGAAGGTGATTTCTGTGTTAATTTCGTAACGACTTTCTTCACAACTCACCACCCCCATTCTCACTTATCCACTGAGCGAGTTTTGGCCAGCAGCTGACATGGATTATAAATAGTAAATTTCATCGGAAAAACAAATAGAGCCACTTCAGCGAAGTCAGAGACCATTAATTGTGTATTAAATTCTCCCTGGTAATTCGACTTCAATCGGGTGTTTATCCGATGATATGTGTTGTGATTCACCCAGGGGGAGTTTACTTTTTTGACGAAAAGTTCATATGTCATGCACTGGGCCCTCGGTTTATCATCCCGTCGTCATAAATTCCCCCTTCCCATCGATATTTCGAGGCAATTTAACTGAGCTGGTTGAAAGCTTTCTGACGTGTTCTCTTTTATAATTATCATTACAAGTATTACAATTAGTAGTATTTCCGTTATAAGTATCATTAACATTTTCATTGCTGTTGCTCCTGTTAATTATAATTAATGCTACATCTGTATTATCGTATTACTGCGACACCTTTATCTCGTTTTTCAGGGTAGTTGAAGAAGTTTTGAAGAGTGATCTAGAAGATATTGATGTCATCACTATTGCTGAAAAGATGACAGTGGATCAGTTCTATGATCTGGGGGTAGCTCTCGGTTTCCGAATTCAACAGTTGGATGTCATAGAATACAGGAGGTTCAGAGACAGACAGCAGGCAACCTATGACATGTTGGTAGAATGGCGTCGGGCACAACCCTCTGGTCAACAAGCAAAGGAAACGTTACTTTCACTCATGAAATCTTTAGACTCACCTGGTGAAGAGATGGAGATAACAGGTTTGCCAATGTCAATCTAACATCCTTTCAACCCTTCTTTTCCACTTAAGTTTGTTACAAGATTAACGTTATTGATTGTGTTGTCGATAGCATTCAATATATTTGTTTAATTTCGTTTATTATCTGTATAAAATTATATACTCTTAAAATATTGTATCAAACCATATTATGTTCATGAAAATGTATGATGAAAAAAAAGAAACCAATAAATCAAATCAAATCAAATATAGAAGAATAAGGGGGTATGATTACGTTACTTTATTCCAAATGGGTAACCAAAAATACGAAGAAAATATGTACCTGAAGGTATTCAACCAAACAAAAAAAGAAACAATGAAATAAATGAGGGCACTTATGTTCAAAGTAATCCTATACGTTTATGAATGTGTGATGATCTCTTAAAATATTTGTTATGATTTATTTCACATTATCTCATGGTCATGAGTTTAAAAAAAAAATCGTATGTATAGTTGTCACAGAAAAGAGTAGAATATTTCTGAAATTGTAGTTTATTCAAATTCTTCTAATTGCAATATCTTGAAGGAATATCATATAAAAAAAAAATGTAGTTTACTCATTCTAAAAGTATTTAGTTGTTGTAAGTATTGCTGCTTAAATATATCAAGCACTTAAGAAGTTCATGATTGAATAGTGAGAGAGAAAGGAAAACCTAGATCAACCTTGCTATCAGCTACCAAGTTAAAAGAGTCTTCTCTTTAATTTCTTATATCCTTACATGTACATCACCTCCTTTAACTTGATCTACGTGCATCAGACATCGGTTCTGCTGGGTGAGTCTATAATTCCAATACTGCTGTCTCTTTGTATTTTTTAATATTGGTATCCACGTTCATACTACTGTAACAAGTTATTGACTTTAAACTAAGTACATGTAGCGGTGTTATACAATGTTCTGCGTTTATTGGAATATTGCATTAACTAGAACAGTACAAACGTTAGATATGGCACTGAATGAAAACAAAAAAAGAGGAAAGAAAGGAAGATTAGGGGGTAGGGAGGGGAAAAAAATGACAAAGAAAAACTTGAATACATACATGCGTACGCACACTCACTTATATATACATTGGTATATATATATATATATATATACCAATTTTGTTCTCTCTGGTGTAAATAATATTTCTTCCACCCAACAGTGAAGTCTCGGACAAGACACTTCTTGCATTCTCCAGGAAGATCAAACCAGAGCAGTTTTCCGAGATTGGTGGAAAGCTGGGTCTCGATAAGAAAGAGCTTGAACACATACAACACCGGACACTGTCTAACAGGAAAGATGCTAACATCCAAATGCTTTCCAAATGGAAAGCATCTCAAACATCAGGGAATGAAGCGAGAAGTCAGACTTTAAAACTTGTTTGGGAGTCTGTCCAAGCAGTACCGAATGAGGAGAACCTAGAAGGTATGGGTAAAATGATTACAATTATGCCAAATATTATGTAAAACGCTTCATAGTATTTCATTTTATTTATCCAGGACTTCGTGGAGGAAAATCTTCAGGATAAGTAGAATCATGCACACTATCTCGTATAAGAAAACGAAGTATCCCTATGCAAGAAACTGCGAATGCACAATACAAGGTCACATGTACCAGTTTTAATAGAGTATTCATCCCGATAGACAATAACGTGTACAATAAAAGGGAACCATGTAATAGACTCTCTTGAGAACGGGGAGGCCACTTTCTGGCACCATTTATTAGGATAATATATTTCTCTAAATGTGCAGAAATACGTAAGATTTTCATACATTCCATGGCGTGTTATGAAGTTAAGACTTTAACAGTAATTTACTGCAAGGTTAATAAATGATTTTAAAGCGACGCTTTTAGATTATATTACTACGTTTATGTAATGATGTGTCTTTTTTCAGACGAAGGTAGTTCTCGTAAAATAGAACCAACTCCTGTGGAAAAGACAAAACCAAATGAACCTAGTTGTGAGCCTGAAGATATGGAGATCATTATAACTACAGCTTGTGGTAAGTAGACGCACAATTTAGTGGTCCATGTTTGTGAAATCAGGAAAGTGTATGACCTTCATGTACTGTTAATGTCATCATAATAGTGATATTGAGACTGTGTAAAGAAAGAGTAGTTCTTAATCTTCCTTTACAAATGTGTGTAATATCAAATCGGTATGGATAATCGATTCAATATCTCGAACCAAACTTAGGCTATAAAAATTAAACAAAGTCACCTACACAAAAAACAGAACAATTTTTATAACATAAAGTGTTCTATTTTAAATCAACGAATCCTATTTCTTCAAAGATGATGTTCCCAGTGTAACTCCGGGAAAGCATTCGGAGTCTCCTCAGGACCTTGATCGACATGGTGGAGTACCAGGCACAGAAGAGCTTTGCAGCGTCACCCTTTCAGTGAAAAGCCTCTCAACTGCATGTTCACTCGGGAAAGCCCTCCGTGTAAATGATGACGTCATTGTTGGATCCATCGATCTACCTAGTTTGTCAATACTCCATAAGATCGCAGGAGAGCTCGTAGACAGTTGGCAGAATGGTTTGAAAAAGGAAGAGCAAGAAGATAAGTTCGCTAAGCTTCTCTCAGAGTACAATATCCCAGATGTCAAAGCAGGTTAGTGAGAATCAAGCCTCATTTAATTCGTAATCGTGTTGATAACAAAAAATAATAATCAATATTTACCCTTTCAAAAGAAAAAGTTTCAAGTTCAAACTTGCATTTCATTTCTTTTTCACATTCCATTAATTTCATTTATTGACATGAAGGCAATAGGAAAATAATACAGAATTATGTATATTATACAGTAGTAGAGACGAATTTTAGTAGGTAAACATTTTTACCAAAATATATTTTAAAACCATGAACACTACTTTTGGTTTCTTAAAATTGTCCCTACATTCATCAATGTTTTACATTTGATTTCACTATTTTAAGACGACAGCAATATCTTCATTCATCACCATCGTTATGGTTTTTGCATTAAACTACATATTTTCTTTCCTTCCTAGTGACATAATATTATGCATTTGTGTCATTGTCTACAGGCCGTGAAAAAATATCAAAAGCCATTGTAACCAAGACAGACCTAGTGGACTTGTGTCATCGCCTGAACGTTAAACCTTCTGGCGTTTTGCAGATCATGAGCAAATTTGTGACCTTCCCGTCTCACATGATTGGCCGTAGTACTCTAAGGGTGCTTACAGAATGGGTACACCAAGGTGGGACTAGAGAGAGGCTTCTGGAAATTGCTCAGGCTTTCCGTTTTAACGATGCAGCAGTAAAGATAGCAGAAGGTAGTGCCACTGTACAACTACACCGCATTTCACATTACATTAGATTGTGTAGGCCTATTTGATCAGTGGAAGAAAAACAAACTTTGACAGATTCATTATTTTCACTTACTATTGCCTGACTATAACAGAAACCCACATTCATAAAATCGGCAGGAGCCTGTGCACTTTTAACTTACTTTAAACCATCTTGCTAGATGAGGAAACACGCAATTGAAAGGAACTTATCACTTTACCAGTTATCTTTCAGACCTAAGAATTGACCTTGAATTTTCCAGAATATCTCGGGCTTTTGCTATACTGATGTCTATCTTTTAAAACATTGAGTATACTTTACTCTATACAACAGAGTCCCAATGAAATAAATTTGGAAAAGCGAGATTACCATTAAAAAAAAAAAAAAATTACATCCTGACTCGAGATTGCTCATTTTTATTCAAACTCTACATGCAAACATGCATTACAAAACACTTCTTTCCCAATCGCTTTTCAGTAAAAACACTAACAAAAGACTGCCTTGGAGAAAAAAACTTGGCACAACTTGATTATGTTATATGTAAATTGTAATCTATTTGCTTCATGTTTCATATGGGGATTATAAATGACTTTTTCCTTCTCATCCTCCTTAGCCATGAAATGCCAACCAAGCTATATACCTTTCCTCTCGCATGGCATCATTGATCACAAGGGTGGAGAACTGACCCTTGATGAACTTGGTACTGCCGTTTCTATCCCTGAAGGAGCTATACCTAAAGGGATGAGATCAGTTGTTACTCTTCGCGTGTCAACTCCTGACACTCTAAGGCTTCCTGTACGGGAGGGTGAGGTAGTCATTACACCAGTCGTAGAAAGTTCTCTGACACAAGAACTGTTAAAGCCTGCCACAGTGGTATTACCACACTGCACCAATCACCATGAACGTAAAGACGACTATTCTGTTATCTTGTACACAAGAACTGGACCAGGTACAAAGTCATTGACATATTTCGACTCTGTTCTCTTGAAAAAAGTAACCTTCTTAACTTTCAATTTGAATCCTAATAATGTGACCAATGAGGTAAATAATTGATTTCAAATCCCAAATATATAATAATCTTCCGGTAATGAGAATCCCTTTTTTAGAATAATAAGCCGGTTCAGTAAAATTTAATGATTTTACATTAATAAAGAAAAATTACCTCTATGCCATTTGAATCAACTCCCTGAACAAAGGTTAAATGAAGTCAAATATCAGAACATGAACTGAGTCGAAATCAATTCCTACTCTACTAATAAGCCTATATCATAGGGAGTAAGATAATATAATCAATATTTGTTTTCCTCTCTTATTCAAAGGAACTTTCGGTCGTAGGAACTTGACTCCATCACAAATCTCAAAAGATAAGATAACGTTTTGCACACGTCATCTTCAAGTCTTGGCTCTGTCATCGACTGATCTTCAAGAACTCCAGCTGAGATGTGTAGTCTTCCAGCCTGTATTCATGACTCCTGCAGAGAGACCAACTCTACGTGTGTACTTACTTCATCCCTATATGAACCGTATAGAGGTATTTATATCAGATGATCTTTATCTACCATCTGAGGGCGCCCTTTGATACTGTGATTATTAAATGGTGCCTCTGCAGACTGTTCAGGCTTATGGTTGCACTGAACAATTTACCGAAGAACGTTTTATTATTTCGTTAACAGTATCAGACTACAATATCAGATCATAATTACGAGAAAAAAAAGAGAGGAAGGGAAGGCAAAGCAAGTGATGAGTCTTGGGGAGGAGGAAAATGAGGAGGAAAGAAGGGAATGATATGTGTTAGGGAAGGGGGATGATGGAAATATTAGAAGAATGGAAGAGAAAGGGAGGAAGGGGTGAACAGATGGAGAACACTTCTTTTCCCCCTCAACATTCACCCCCCCCCCCCTTGAGCAAAAAAAAATAATAAATTAATAAATCCCATTTTTGTCAGGGGGGGGGGCATAGATAAAACACAGGTAAAGGGTGTTTTTGACATTCCCAAACACCCAAAGCTCCCCCTGTTGTTCAAGGGGGTGTTATTGAACACCCATAACACCCCCCCCCCCGCATTAATACGCCAATGGAATACATATTGTAATAGCACGTGTGAAGGGGGGGGGGCAGTACTTTAAAGTTTAAAATCTGTATGCTGAACTATGACATCAACGAAGTATCTACTGTGCCATTTTGAGCAATCTTGTACATTATCTTACTGCGATGCTTGTTGCTTCAGACGGTAATTATGGATGAATACATAAATTGACAGTTCATACATGACGTAGGGTTTTGTGACCAGCCTTTCCCTAGTGGAGGGGAGTGGAGCTCATTGAAATATGGATGTAGAATGTTTTGGAACTGCATCACTTTGAATGGCATGATAGGCCTAGCTGTTATTTACTGTGAGCATTCAGCTATAGTGCCATAAATATATTTTAAAAAACCCAGATAGATGACATATTTTGGGACCGAATTCTTCATTAATATTAAATTTTTGTTCTGGTTGTTTATTCAGGATATAACACGAACAGAGAAGAGTTCTTCTGTTCCCTACTGCCGGGTCATGAAGGAATTCACGTTCTCTATAGAGTCAGAAGCAAGGGACCTAAACATTGTGTTCGACGACGGGACGAAAAGAAAGGAGAGAACGGTGAATATGCCTGAGTTTTTTCCATAAGGTCCGTTAAAACTTCTTCTTAGATGTTAATTTTTCAAGTTGAATTCTACACATGACCTTTAAAAAAAGTGCAACAATAAGCCATTTTTAAGTTATGTTTTTCTTAAACGGTCACTGAATTATCAAGCCTCTTTCTTAATTTCGAAATTGGAGGATATCCTCGATTCAGATATGTTCCCTCTGCCGATCATTTTTCTCCCTCACATATGCACATGCTAACATAATGTTGTAATGTTTATTTTTATTATCAGTATTATATATTCATTTTTTATCATATTATTATTACCGTTGTTGTTTTTGTTATTGTTCTTTTTGTTAATATCATCATTATCATTTATGATTAATATCATTATCATCATGACATTTTTTTATTATTACTGTCATCGTTATTATAATTATTCCAACGATATTCAAACCAAGATGCCCATCAAGAGTATACTCAGTGGAAAGTGCAGCCCTTTGAACTTCGAGCTTCAGTTCTCTCCTGAAGAGAAAGGAAAGAAGAACGGTCATATCGACATACTAGAAGGGTCAGCAAAACGTGCAGAAAAAGAGTTCATTGTTTACAAAGAAGGTAAGCCAATATTATCAGGAAAAAGGATATTATGTGTCTTTCACATCATCAAATGTAGCTAGATACTTCAAAGACCTTACGTCAGTCATTTATGTAATGAGTTGCCTCAAAAACTTTACACAAGTCATTTATTGTAACTAGTTACCTCAATGATCCTACCGAGTCCTTCATGTTGCCAGTTACCCCCAAAACCCTACATAAGTCTATTATTGAACCAGTTACCCAATGACCGTACATACCGTTATGTCATTTCTGTATCATGATATCTTTAATACCCTACATAAGTCATTTATTGTAACCATTGATCTCGAAGACTGTACATGAGTCATTTCTGAAAATAGTTACCTGAAAAGCCCTACTATACATATGTACATGAGTCATTTCTGAAAATAGTTACCTTAAAAGCCCTACATATTTTTCATTTACGTAACTCCAATGTATCCCAGTTATTCTGCGCATTCAATAAGAATAATTTAAATTAATATCATTTATATAAAATATAGCATACACTGAATGCCAATTTTTTTTTTTTATCAAAGAATGGCTGTAGGGTAGCCCTGTTCGGGTCTGAAATCTGTTTCTAGCAAAATTCTTTCCACTCTCGTATCCTCTGAAATTCTGAAAAAGTTGTTTAAAACAAAACCATTGGATTATTTTTCTTTCAAAACACATCTATTTATTTTTAATACATAGCAATTCCGAATACTGAAATAACAAATTTATTCCTATTGTATTGCTTTATTCTGTTTAATGCAGATGAACCGGATTATGCAGTCGAACACACAGATTCGTAAGTAAACGAATATCACCACCCATTGTCAATGTCTTATACCATGGAGGCCATAGGGACGACAATTAAATGGGCATTCAGACAAAGCTTTTCTATAACTTTCTGTCTTAAGCTATTATAGTTAGCTGCTAGAATGATATTTATGTATATTGATTCGGGCTGTGTAACACTAAACCGAAAATGGACATCAAACTAAGCATTTGTCATTCTTAACCCATGACTAGAACGTTCCAAATACCCTCAATTAGTGGCTAGTGAGAAACAAGTAACTTTTGTTAGTCTACTCTTGATCTATAGAGAGTGGTGATGGTGATTTATCAAAATACAAGGATTCATGTCAATATTTACAAAGGAATCTACCAAACATCTTTCAGCTCGTATTGTATTTGTTTACATATTTTCATTTTCCATCCCCCCCCCCCCGGCGAATGTCATGAATTCACTGACCTACAGGCAAGGGCGATTGCAGTATGTATCCAACATTCTTCTCGAGATCCTGGCCGATGTGATCCATACACCAAAGGATGTCATAACCTTTGGTTACCAGCTTGGCCTCTCTTATTCCTCTATGAAGAAACACAACGACCAAACAGACGTGTACCTCGATAGTGTCTCAAGGTCAGGCTTTGGTAAGATGCTACGTGACTGGAGACGACAGGTTCGACCTAGTGAGCAGGTAGATGAACTTCATTTGGCATTGCAAGATGCTGGGTTAGGCCATGCAGCTGAGGTCATCTTACATGAACGTAAGAACCACATTCTACTCTCTCGGGCTTTGTAACACTAATAAATAGTATATTGTTTATATTTCTTATATTGTTAGAAAGATGGAAACGATGATATATTGTCGAACCCCCTTGTTCCAAACCATAGCCAAAGGCACTAATGAAATATTAAAGCTGAAGTATTTAGCGAAGCAATCTGATATGTGCTGGAACTATCTCAAAAACTGCCCAAGCATTGATAGGTACCCATTTAATACACACAGAAAGGAGCATAATAAGTCGGGGAACAAACTTGTCCTATAAAGCATCCAGCAAGGTAATATAACCTGGGACCTCCCATATGGCCACATGAAAGTCCAGTAGGGAATTCCAAATTTGATTGCCCTTTTGGCGTATCATAGTCCAGAGCTACCAAAGTACCTCAATATATGCTTCCAAATCCATTGGAACGCTAATAAATAATGTCAGTACATTTTAAACGACACCATTTACACAAATGATTTTCCGTTACGGCTGTCAGTTCAGGATTAAATTTCAATAAAATAATTCCAGATATTTCTTCTCCCCTATTTTTTTTTTAACCATAACAAATCTAAATATTCGAATTATTTAAATTCCTTCTTTTCTTCCAAATTTTTTTCTTTTGTGAACCAAAAGTTTGTAACACGTCCATATCTTTAAATTATTTAATTTTCTTTCTTTTGTATTTCGTTTTAGTGAGTAGCAGGAGGCGCTTTGCAAAAGTCAAACAAGTATGGGAGTCAAAGAAGTAGGCAGACCTGTCATTTAAATGTCCCACGACCAAGAAGGGATTCAATTGGTTTGTGCATTCAGCCTACGTCTAAACCTGTACTCCAAGTTTGCATGATTTTCAGTCTGAATCTCGAAGTTGCTATTTCTTCCCTTCCATATGCTGGGAGTCATGTAGTTAAGCTACATTTGATGATGATTTCTTGTTAAATCTATTTCATTTTTAAGAAGGCGGTTGAGGTATGAAGTATTACGATCGGTAAACATGTATATGATTTTTTCATGTGTGTGTGTGGGAGGGGGTATATAAATATCTTCCTGTTTAGAATACGTCCTTCGTAGGCCTTGTTCCTTTTTCCTTCCATCTTTCCCTCAATGATATTCAACAAAATTCATCATGCCAAATTCATTTTGTCTGTTTCTCGTGTTATTGCACACTTCCGCTCCTTCCACGCTTTTTGTAGAACATTATCATTTATCGCTTGATCTATCCACCCAACCTATCTTTGCCATCTTCCTCCACATTGAAATGTCAAAACTCTCAACGGTTTAATGTCTTCCTTTTTCAGAGTCCATGCCTCTGATCCATTAGGCATCACACTCCCAAATTATTTACATGTGACAATAATACCATTACATATTTTCGTTATCGTAAGGTTGTGTGAATACCGTTTCTGGTCTGTTGGTGCAATAATTGAATTGACTTCAGTTTTATTTAATTTATTAACCATTAATATACATGTAAAAGCAAAACATACAATAGAAAATAGAATACATACAAAATACAAAGCAAGCATAATGATCAGGACCACAAAGAAGTAAATTGGGCCCCCACAAAAACAAATTCAATTAAATATAATTCAGTCACCATACCCACACTTGTACACACATATACACACATAGCTACATGGAAACTGTCGTTAGAGAGTTTCAAATAGGAATTTTCGACAAAGCTTTTTAAAACAGGATAAACTTGATCCTTATAGAATTGGGTAATTTATTCCATTTTCTCACGCCTGCAATATTTAATGAATTGAGGGAAGAAGTAAGACTTACTTCGGGTTGATGATGAAAATGTTCTTTTTGACCTGTAGCATATGAATGGATATTTTAATTGGGATAAACATATTACTGTATTTCACATGAAAAATGTTATGCCTTACAGAGTACATACAAATTAGAGTATCGAATGTAATCAAATCGTATAAAGGCAAGATTTGCATCTGTTTAAAGAGTGGTATACTTGGACTTTGCATTTGTGAATTTTTTTTTATTTCTTAGAGACTTTTTCTGTAAAACATATATTTTTTTCAGATGTGATTTATAAGTATTTACCCAAATATAGTTGCAGTAGTTTAGATGTAGTAGAATGTTAAAGGCTATTGTACAGAATATAAAAAACATTACTAGGCAATATAAATTAAGTTTAGAAAGGAAACCAACATATTTTGCTAGTGTTCATAGAAACTCATAATCATTACTATGTTGCTACAATAGTCGTAGTATACATATATATATATTTTTTAGTTGTTGAAAGGTTGTATGAATACTCGGTCGGTTATGTTGCTACAATAATCATATACATATTATAATACTTACAGAAAACATTTTCTTTATTGTAAGGTTGTACCAATACTGTTTCAGTTCTGTTGCTACAATAATACTGTACATGTGATAATAATATCCGAAGATATTATTCATTATAAGTTTGTATGAATACTTTTGTAGTTCTCTTTCAACAATGACAATGTATATAGGAAAACAATTGCAGTCAATATTTCCTTCATTGTAAGGTTGTATATCGATACTGTGGACTGTTACATTAATTATCATGTACATAAAATATTAATTACATAATATATTTTCGTTGTTGTAAGGTTGCATGAATACTGTTCCAGTTCCGTTGCTACAAAAGTAATTTACATGTGATGATTATTGCAGTAGATATTATATTTTTTGTAAGGTTGTATGAACTCTATTTCAGTTTTTTGCTACAGTAATTTTTTACATGATATGATAATCTCAGTATATACTTGTGTTGCTGTAAGGTCGTTTGAATACTCTCTCCGTGCTGTTGCTACAGTAATCATATACATATGGTAATAATTACATAACATATTAAATTTGTTGTCTGACTACTACATCGCTACAATGATGTTGCGCATGAAGTAATAAAGACAATTAATATATGGTTCATCATTGGGTGGTTTAAAAACGTTTCAATTTGTATTGCTAGAATAATGATAATGTTAATAGGACAATCAATACAGATATATTTTTTAACCACGAGGCTGTATAACAAGTGTTTCATTTGATTTGATACAATGGTCATGTATATATATAAGACAATAATTACGGAAGATGTTATCTTCATGTCAACGTTTATGAAGATTGTTTAGTTCTATTGCTACAATGATCATGTATATAAGACAATAATTACAGAAAATGATATCTTCATGTCAACGTTTATGAAGACTGTTTAGTACTATTGGTACAATGATCATGTATATAAGGCAATAATTACAAAATATGTTATCTTCATGTCAACGTTTATGAAGACTGTTTAGTACTATTGCTACAATGATCATGTATAAAAGACAATAATTACAGAAAATGTTATCTTCATGTCAACGTTTATGAAGACTTTTCAGTTCTATTGCTACAATGATTATGTATATAAGACAATAATTACAAAAAATATTTTCTTAATGGCAAGTTTCTATGATGAACATGTATATAAGGTGATAACCGAAATGAATATAAGCGTTATTATTAGTTTGTATGAAAACTACAAAAACATGTATATAAGCTAGCTTATTAATTTCAGAGTATGTTTTGTTTTTAAGGTTTTTCTCATTTGCTGGAATTGTCATGTTCATTATGTAATAATTGCAGTAAATATGTGCTTTGCTATCATGAATCTAAGTTTTGTATGAACACTTCTCCAGTTGTATTGCCTTAGTGATCATGTACATAAAACAATAATATCAGCGGATAGTTTCATTATTGTAACTTTTTATGAAACTGTTTTTGTTATATTGCTATACATCATTTGAATAAGAATTACAGTTAAGTTGTGTGGTTTAGGCAAACTGTTTTTTATGAGATTAGCATTCATTTCATTTAGGCCAAAGAATATCATTTGAGCAATGCCACTTTAAGATGACTACTCATAACAATGCTATCATATTCAAAGTATGAACAAGTAGTTTGAGTGTTTGAAATATGTTTTGATGACACACGTGTGATATCCCATATGTGCCCACATGTATGTGCAGTGTTTTCCTAATGTGTACAATTTTCAGCAAGATTGCATATCGTTATGATTTGTATATGTATTCTTTTCCTTGTAATAGTTTATTTTATATGATATGGTCATTCATGGTTTACTCTCCAAAATAATTTGATATCAGTATATATTTTGTCCACGTTTCAATTTCTTATAGTCAACATACTTTATATTATATATAGTCATTTTATATTTCTTTCGAAATTGTAATGACCGCCTTGACTGCATTTACAATTATTTAACGTTTCTAACATGTCTAAAATTTAGATTTTGTCACGGTTCTAATACCAAGATGTACAGCGGTAAAACCAAACATATAATCTGTAATAAATATATTTGAAAGAACGTAATTTCTATATCTGAAAGTTAATCATCCACATGTATATTCCTATAACATAATCAACATTTCTCAATGACTTGCAGACATTTGTTTTACAATGTACTTGTGAAAACAATTACTTGGATTTATTTTGATGATGTGTCAACGTTTTTTTATGTTGAATTGCTACTATATTCAAGTTTCAAAAATGCAGAGTACATATCTGTATTAAACCATAGTAAGGTTGTAGAAAAGCCGTTTCGGGAGTATTGTATCAATGACCATGAACATATTAGTAAGATATATACAGTAATGTTAGTATTATGTTGTGGTTACATTTTAGTTGCGGTTCCGCAATTACCATTTAAACTAATAGTGTTGTAATAAAGTAATCATTATTGCACATTTTTGCGTATAATCATCATACATGGCCGCGACCTGAGAGACCTGTCAAATGGATCCCAACCGAATGTAAACTTACTTTTAAAAAGTCAAGTTAGAACAAGGCTGCTGATTGCATACTGTCTTATTTGTTTTGTTGTAAAGAGCCCGATCCATTTACATAATCACTCATTTCAGAGTCGGTTTGAGGCTTCAAAGTTGATTGACACAAACATTTTGTTCTGAAGTTTGCCCTTATTAACGACCTTCAGCAAAACAAATTGGGAACCAAAGGGAATGCAAAACGTGCTTGGGACTTTATACCTCCTATAAACGTGTGTGAATGCCTTCAAAACGTATTGAGAGCACTGCCGTGATGCTAGTTCAGAACAAGGAACATTTTGAAAATGATGTTGAATTTTGCTACGAAAGAAAATCCACTTTTATTTTCAATATATTTGTTTTATGTTTCAAGAAACTTTATATCAGCTCCGATTTAGGTAGCAAGATCATTTTTATTTGTTTGGATATAATTTGCCTTTGTATTGGTGAGGTTCTGTTAATTTTTCTTTACTCTCATGCTCCTATATCCATTACTGTGTTTTGTTTTTATTGTGATGATAGCGATATCTCTCATAATTAATGTAATGCGACCATATGTACAGCATCTAATTTCAATTTTCATTTGTTTTTCTTGTGTTGTTTAATTTTTTATTTCTATTTAGCATTTTAAGTTGAGTTTTCTTTTATTTGTTTCCTTTGATAATAATGTTATCTTATCATGCCAGGAGTGATTTCAGTCAATTAAAAAAAATGACTTTGCTTCAGTCATTTAAGAACCACATGGTTTAATACACTACAAATTTCCCACAAGCCATTTTTCCCAAAATGGCTTACTTAAATGATAAGTAAAGGAACAAAAAAAAAATAGTACGTGTATGCTGGCTCTCTATTTTCAAAAAGCACAATATTTCATGGAAGCATTGTATTCATATACTTAGATGTAAGTAATATCAGAATACTGAATATAGAATCTCGCTCTTCTTGTGTTTACTCTGATGTATCATTTATTTTGTTCGTTGACAGAGATGTGAATGCTTTTATTTCTAGACCATTTAGGAGAAGGGAATAGTCTTTTGAGGAAATAAATTTGGAGCATTATAACTGACACAAATGTTGTAAATGTCTTGTTATATGTGGAGCGCGGTGGTAAGGGCGTGTGTGCGTGTGTGTGTATGTGTGTGTGTGTGTGTGTGAGAGAGACGTGGTGTGCGTGTGTGTGTGTATTGCTAGGGAAAGAGTACGTACAGTAATTCTGTTTTGAACCAGAAGGGCGTTAACTCATACACTTAAACACAGAGTTAACACCCTTCTGGCTCTCAACAAACTATAAATGAGAGAGAGTATAATGAAAGATAAGGTGGTTATAAGAGAGAGAAAATGATCAGTTTTAATTACGTTTGGTAGCACAAAGTTCTACGAAATAACTATTCACAAAGCACCAACAGCAGAATACATTGACATTAATGTGAAAATTATGTTACGTTTCGCTCATAATGATATCGAGTCTCGCTGCCTCAATGCACACACACATCATTAACCTTTTTGCATAATAGTTATGAAACAGTGCGTGTTGGTACAGTACTTTTTGGCTTGGGCGCACACCCACACACACGCACACACACCCATACACACACAAACGCACATTAACACACCAAATGTGCTTGAGAACAGAGTTGTCAATTCCACACTTGCTGATGTTTTTTTAGTGGGGGGTCATTTTATTTTTTTGATTTGGAATATATTTTTTTCCTCTCAAACGAAATCTAAAAGATTAATTGCAGAATTAGAATACAAAATAGTGCAAAATTATATTACACATGACTATATACTATTTTACTTATAACCTCATCAATACAATACTTGAAAGTAACAGCTTATATTTGATACATGTATAAAGGCACGGTAGGTCTTACTTCAAAAATGATGTCTTATTACATTTCCTTTAGAATAGACAAAGCATACTTCTGTTATTCTTAGAAAAAGTGGATCATAAAAAAAATGTAGTCGTTAAAAAGGGAAAAGTACCTGAATCGTAACTTGAATTAAAAGTGTTTTTTAGGAATAAAATGAGACAAGAACTGTATGGTACTCCTCCTCCTGTTAGCTTGTCTTACACAGACACACACTCCCCTACCCCCCCCCCCCACCCCCACCCCTTCCCTGTAAAAAAAAAAAAAACTTCACAGATCCACA